TAATATTTCTCCTAAATCCCTTTTACCACAAACCTATAGCCAACATTATAGTAAATGAGTAAAAACTGAAAACATTGTCTCTAAAATCAGGAGTGAGACAGGCTGCCAACTTTCTCACTCTTATTGAATACAGTATTTGAATCCTAGCCAGAGCACTAAGGCAAGAGAAAAAAATTAAAGTGAATAAAAATAAGAAAAGAAGAAGTCAATTATCCCTATTTGCAGATGATATTTAAAGACCCCAAAGACTCCATCAAAAATTCTTAGATGTGATAAAACACTTTCAGCAAGTGTTCAGAACACAAACTCATACTCAACATACAAAAATAAGTAACTTTTCTATATAACAGGCTGAGAAAGAAATCAAAAGAACAATCTTATTCACAATAGCTTCAAAAAATACCTAGCAATAACCTGAACTAAGGAACTTAAACCATCTACAATGAAAACTACCTGACACTAAAGAAAGAAGTAGAAGACACCATGTTCATGTATCAGCACTGAAAGTGATCTACAGATTAATGCACTCCCATCAACATTCCGTTGACACTTTCACAGAAATAAAAAACTCAATCCTAAAATTCCTATAGAAGTACTAAAAACCCCAAACAGCTAAAACAATCCTGAGCAAAGAAGCAATGCTAGAGTCACTGCAATGCAGGACTTCAAATTACCACAACAGGGTCATAGTGACAAAAATAGCATGGTACAGGCACAAAACAGACATATAGACTAACAGAAAAGAAGACTCAAAAATAAACCCAGATAGCTAAGTCATCTGGCTTATGATAAAGTACCAGAACATACACTGGAGAGAAAAGACAGCCTCTTAACAAATGATGTTTGGGAAACTAGATATCAACATGCAAAAGATTAAAACTAGATTCCCATCTCCCACTCCATTCAAAAATCAATTTCAAAATTGATCAAAGACAACTAACGTGAGACAGGAAAACTTTGAAACTCCTAGAGGAAATCCCAGGGAAAAACTTGAAGTTGTAGGGTAAAACCAAGGACTTTGTGGCTAGGACTCCAATAACTCAGGAAATAAGAGCAGAACTGATAAATGGAATTGAATCAAATCAAAAATCTTCTGCACAACAAAGGATACAATCACCAGAATGAAGATATAGCTAAGAGAATAGGAGAAATCTTTACCAAGATTTTTCATATGATAAGACATTAATATCCAGATATGTAAGTCTTAAAAATTAAATACCAAAAAATCAAACAATTAATTAATAAAGAGGTTAATGAAAAGCCAGTTCTCAAAAGAAGTACAAATGGCTAATAAATACATGAAGAAGTATTCAACATCCCTGGACATGAACAAAATGCAAGTTAAAATGGCTTTGTGATTTCATCTGACCCCAGTTATAATGGCTATCATTCAGAAAACAAACAACAAATGCTGGCAAGTACATAAGGAAGAAGAAATTTATATACTGTTGGTAGGAATGTGAAATTAGTGAAGCTCCTTTAAAAATCACTATGGAGGTTCTTCACATTTTAAAAACTGAACTACTGTTTGTAGGTCATATATTCAATAGCACTAGTTTATGGATTAGGCTTGCTGAGGATAGGATAAAAGAATGGCTCTATGTATATCTTCTTTCTCTGACACCATAATTACTCCATTTGTGAGCTATGGGTAAGCTCTTGAGTAGTGAATGACAGCAGGTAGATGACATGTACTGGAAGAGCTGCTGTGTTATTTTAGTGCCTCTTCTGCAGTGGATGATTTATGGTGGGCACAATGTAATAAATAGATTCATATACTTATGCCAATCCTTCTATATCTATCTTCATCCCTTTTCTCCAGAGCTCTTTGTCTCCCATGCTTCGATACTGATTCTTCCAATTTCATGAACAGGCGAGCCAAGATATATGCTGCTACTGTCTATTTATATTTCCTTATCCAACCAAGGCCCAAAAGCATAGCAAGAGCTATTTAATATACCATGTATATTTTTATGACACAGTCTTTCTCTAGAATCCTAAGAAGCCTGTGCCACAAATCCCCTATTGGGTCTTTCCTGGGCTGCAGCATGGTATTTTTTTAATCAATACAGATACCACTAGTACTGTGAAATCTTCCAGATCCCATTATACCAAGCAATAGAGTCACTTTGTATTAGAACCTAGACTCATTGCTGTCACAGTCTTTTAAATATCAAAAAAAATGATTCAGAGAAGAATTCCTCCCAAATATGACTTAGGCTGCCTATGAAATCAAGAATGCCTATAAATAATAATGCATCTTAGTTATAGAAAGTGAAAGATTTGATGAATTTTCCTTCATTTAAGTGTATATACAACATTCTGCAGGCCACTGGACATATAAGCACTTTATTAGTTAGAAAGTCTATAAATCTTTGAGAGCTTGCCCCTCTGCCTCTGGAACACATATTCACTCCCTTCTTACTCAATAGGTCCAGTGAACATAATCTTATTAATAGTAAATCAGTGATGTATTCTGCATAATTTTCAGATTATCAAGACAACGTGGATTGTTTTCCAACAGAGGGCTAAATAATTAAAGGATTCTGAGGCAGGTCAGTGAATGTGTTCTGTTGTTCATCTCAAATGATCCTAAGAATTCTAAAAATAATGCATCCACCAAATCACTCAGCACAGCTACCAAGTATAGGCAAATCAGTGGTACAATTGGAAACCTGGAAAATGACCAGTGGTGATCCTGTGAAAAATGTGAACTTATTCTGAAATGGATTTAGACAAGTGATCTTTGTATCACCTAACCTTCTTATGGCAATATCCCTATCCCCAGTCTAAGAGAGGACCACAATAGTATTTTGGGTTATCTGTTGCCATCTTAAGTCAAGTGTATAACCAAAAACTGTTAAAAGACTTTGATACTTCCCTTTCTAGAGTGTGCAATTATTCAGGTAAAAGGCCATAGATCGCTTTTTGACAAGAGTTAGATAAATTTCTACAATACATGTTTTCTGTGATTTTGTAAGGGAGGATCCCGCAGCTCCATCATTTGATAGCTTCTGAGTACTGGTGCAGGCCTGAAAAGTTGAGTGAGGTGGCTGGCATCAGCCTTCAGCTCATCTATTGACATGAATGAAAACAATCAATATCCTTATTGTTTTGCATAAACTTTTTGCCATGATCAGTTTTCCATTAGCATCAGCCAATGTAGGTCAAGTTTACTTGGTTGCCATTCCAACCTAGCTGCTAGTTACAGTAATTTCATCCATTTTGTTTCTGACAGATTTTAGTCACATCTCTGAAGAAATGTAGTGTGTCTCTCCACCAACAATTTGCTGGTGCTAGAAAGCTAACATCTTCATCATATTGTCATAACCACTTAGAAGTTATAAAAGAATTTAGATAGTTTGTGTGTGTGTGTGTGTGTGTGTGGGGTGTTGTGAGAAAGAGAGAGAGAGAGGATACAAAAGTAATTAGACTGAATTTTCACAGATTACAGGTTTAGTCCTCCACAAGACAGTCCTTACTCTACATATCATCTGCAAGTTTAGAGGTCATAAGTAGTCACCTTCACTTTTGACTTCTGGATACAAATTTAGGCATTCTTAGCATATCCTCAGGTTTATTGCAGGAATGACTTATAATCATATGTACAGAAAAGTATTGTACATATGATTACAGTTTTTTATAGAACAAGATATACATTACAGCCAGCCAAAGAGACACATAGGGCAAGATCTATGTAGTCCCAAACACAAAGCTCCTTTGTCTTAAAAAACAATAGCTTTACCAGGAGTCTCTACTCCCATTTTCCGCATGGGGAGTAAGAAATATTTTTCCCTTTTTTCCCATTTCTTCCCACTTGTATCCCGTTATACTAAATTCCTTTCCTAATAAGTTTTACTATTACTTTTGCTATTAAAAACAAACAAATAAATAAATAGCTTGCCTAAAGTCTCACAGCTAGTAAGGGAGAATCCAGAATTGAAACTCAATTCTGCACTTACCACCACCTCCAAAGTCTGGCCCCACAGTTTATAGGGCTCCACACCTGAACCCAGTCCTTTTACCCACTGTCAATCTTTAATAGATTGTAGAATTTAAAAGTAGAACTTTTAACTCTATGATTGAAATAAATTATAAGTTAAAAACTGAAAAAAGAGCTCTTTTGTCTTCAAGGTATATATCCCTCCCAACACACTTATGTCCAGAAAATGGGCAGTATTGCCAACTAAGGAAGCTCACCTGAGCTTTGTCACCAAGCTGCTACTGAGGCTTCTTCACACAGTCATAATTGATTTAATTATTGGCCATGTAGCTAAACTCAATATCTAGCCTCCTCCCTCCTGAAGGTCAGGCAACTAATAGCAAGACTCAAAGCCATAGGGGAGGGGAGAATAAAGGAGAATGATGGAGAGGGTGAATTCAAGTATGATATATCTGATACATTATAAGTACTTTTGTAAATGTCACAACGTATCCCCACCCAGCATGACAATTTTAAAAAGACTCAAAGCCAAAAACCTGTAATCACATGTTTAGTCTTTCTGGCAAGATCGCCACCCAATCCGCCCCACCATCCTGAGTCTATCTTGGATCCCACCATGACTCATGTCTTGGACATAAACTCACATGTGATCCAAATGGCTCATGAATGACAAGGACACTTTTGGGTTTTAGCAATTCCATTCCAGGAACTCAGGACAAAAACCAAACAAATTCTTTATTGGCTATTTGGTACCTACTCACTTTCTTCTAATCCTTGCTACCATGTTTTAGTTCTCATAGCAATTAATGATCCTGATATTTGTGCTGTGGATTTTTTTTTATTGTGCACTCTCCCACCACACTAAAAGATAAAATTCATGAGATTGTTAAATTTGCTCATTCCTGTATTTCTTGAACCTACTGTACTCCCTGTTATAATAAATGCTCAAAATTTCTAAGAGAAAAACAAAAATCAATTAAACTAATCAAGTATTACAGTAAAGTAATGAAAGTCACAATGCAGGTCATGAATAAGCATAGTCAGTCCTCATGGTGCTCTAGCAGATTTTAAACAACTTCTTCCCAAAGATTTTCTTCAGAGCCAACATCACTTCTTTATTTCTAAGTGTGTATATTAGTGGATTTAGCACTGGGGTGACTGCGCTGTAAATGATAGCTACCATCCGGTCCTCACTCATGGAGGTGGCTGAGGCAGGGCGAATGTATGTAAAGCCCACAGGTCCATAGAAAAGACACACTACCATAAAATGGGAAGCACAAGTGGACAGAGCCCTCTGGAGTATTCTGCAGGACCAATTCTTGAACATAAGGAAGCCAATAATATAGAAATAGGAGAGGAGCGTGAGGAAGAAAGCTCCCATGGATATGCTGCCAGTGACAACAGAAAGGAGATGCTGATTGAGTAGCGTGTTGCTACAGGCTAGTTCCAAGAGGGGCTTGACATCGCAGAAGAAGTGACTGAGTTGCTGGGAATGGCAAAAGTTCAGGCGTGCAGTCATGACAGAATGCATGAGAGCATAGAAGAAGCTGGTGATCCAGGCCATGGCAGCCAGCAGAACACACAGCTGGGAATTCATGATGACAGTGTAGCGAAGTGGGTTGCAGATGGCTACAAAACGGTCAAAGGCCATAACAGCCAGCAAGATGGCCTCTGTACTTCCCAGAAAGTGGAAGAAGTGTAACTGAATGATGCAGCCAAGGAAAGATATTGTTCTGTGAATGGAGAGAAGGTTTACAAGCACTTTGGGAAGTGTCACTGAAGAATAACAAATATCCAGACAAGAAAGATTTCCCAGAAAAAAATACATAGGGGAGTGGAGTCTGGGTTCCAAAATAACAATCATTAATATAGCTCCATTTCCAACCAAGTTTATCAAGTAAACAATTAAGAACATCAAAAAGAAGAAAGGCTGCAGCTCAGGGGCACTGGTCAGGCCGAGTAAATGAAACTTATTCACTGTGGTGACATTCTCCATTACCTTGAGGAGCAAACATAATAGCAATGAGGCATATTTTCTGAGCTCTAAATTTTACATTGTGAGCATATTATGAATAAACCAGGAATAGAGAAATGGCATTTTTTGAAGTGTGATATGTAGGACCTGACCAGAACCTCGTGTGTACCACTGGAACTAGGGATTAGTCAAATTTAAACATATGAACACATGAATACTTGTTCAACTTGTGGTTTTAAGTTCTGGCAGTCATACAGATGAAGTCTAGTAGGGATTTCTCCATTTTTCCAAACATGCAAATTGATGCAATTGGAGGACATCATGTTAAGTGAAGTAAGCCACGCTCAGAAAGACAAGGGCTGCATATTTTCTCTCCTATATGGGAGTTAGACACAACACAAATATAAGCAATATTATGAAAAACAGGTTACACTTAGGGGAGGTCACTTAAGAGAGAGGGAGAGTAAACGAAGGAGGCTAAGAAGGTGAATATTGGTGACGTACTTTCTGTACAAAAATAAACATAGAATTTTAAACCTACTGAAATCACCATAAGAAGGAGACTAAGGTAGAAAGGAGAAAAACAGAGAGCATGAACCAATTTGCGTTATAATAAATATATACATGGAAATGTCACAAGGAATCACCTGTAGAGCTATCTTAAACAAACAAAAATGGCTTCTTTCAAAAATAGAGAACAGGAAGATAAAACAGTTCCTGTCTGGGAGTTGGTACCAGTGGGAAGGGGGTAGATATAAGGAAATGGTGATGGAGGCTAAGTGTAGTGGAAATAATATGTATTCATGCATGAAAATGGAAAGATGAGATATGATGAAATTATTCTAGGAACAGGGAAAGGGAGAGATAAATGACAATGATGGAGGGGGAGAATTCAACTATGATATATTATAAGAACTTTTGTAAATGTCACAATGTATCCCTAGTACAATAATATAATAAAAACAAAAGGAAATTGAAAAAAACTCCACAGCACAGCAATACATGACAACCTAAACCTTCAGTGAATCTCAGAGACATAAAACCTCACAAACCACAAATATTGTATAAATAGAGGGGAAAACAGCATAATTTGCATTAGAAGTCACAAGGCTGCAGTGTGGCAGTGGGGCCGTGGGTATAGCTGAGATAACCTTGAAATAGTGGTAGGTTTTAGGAGTAAGAAAACTTTGAGAATACTCCATTTCAGCCCAGGAGAGTGCCCCTTAGTGAGTGGGAATTTCTATGGGGTGTTGGAGGGGGTGTTGGAAGGAACAGGACAGGGCACAGCATAAATACTGAGGGAGACAGAGAGAAAAAAGCACAAAGGAAACTGCCATTTCTAAAAGAAAACTGCCGTTTCAACTGAAAAGGGAACCCTGGAACTGAGGAACTGGAAAAAGTACCCAGGACACTCTTCTCACATCACCCATTCACACTAACATTCCCATGCTAATAACCAATCCAGAATATCATAGTCCAATTTAAACTCCCAATAAAAAGCTATAAAAGTTGTCAAAAGTAAAGAACAAATAGTCAAATCCACAATTATGATGAGAAGTTTTAGTATATCTCTTTAACCACAAAGTCACTAAGGATATAAAAATCTTAGCCAGCATAATTAAATTTAGTTAATACATATAGAACACTGAACTCAACAAGAAAAGAATTCACATTATTGTTAAGTATACATTGAACACTTACAAAATCAAGCATAGGCTGAGACTTTTTTAAGTTTCAAAAGACTGAACCATTCTTGACTTGGTCATGGTGAATTAGAAAACAAGAAAAAGAGTTCTAAAAATCTCGCTAAATCCTTCAAATTAAGAATACATACTAAGTAATTCATTAATAACAAGAGAAGTCTAAACAGAAATTTTTAAAGAATTGAATTATTAGGAATACAGGACATATCAAAACTTTTGGCTTGCAGCTAGCTAAATGAGCAAACAGAAAAATTGTTGGCCCTAAATTCAAATATTAGCAAGGAAGAATTATTTTAAAACCTCAAAGAAATGATAAGTATCTGAGGTGATAGATATGCTAATTGCCCTGATTTGATCATTATAAAATGTATCAAGGCATCACATTGTACCACATAAATATGTGCAATTATTAGGTGTTAATTTAAAAATAAGACTTTATAAAAACAACAAAATGTTCATTCAAAAAGCTAAATAAACAAATAAATGAGTGATAGAAACTCAAACTTGGAGAAAGTAGGTATAATTAACAAAAATACTAACAGGAATTATTAAAATGGAAGACAAAAGTATAAAAGAGAAAATTCAACAAAGCTGAATCCATTACTGGAAAATGGTGGAGGGGGTGAATTCAAGTATGATATATTTGATATATTGTAGGAACTTTTGGAAATGCCACAATGTATCCCCACCCAGCACAACAGTAAAACATAAATAAGAGAAACGATTATGAAAGTAACAAACTCAGTAAGACATAGATTACCAAATGAAAAGGTAGTATCATTACAGATGCTATCAATCTCAAAAAATTTTAAGATGTCATTATAAACATATTTTGTCAATAAATATGACAATTTAGATGAAATTAACAAATTACCCCAATTCCAAAGTAACTCACAGAAATGTGAGTAAAAGAAAGAAAATTTTAATTGTTGATACCTGTATAGGAAGCAGGAGGAGTTATTTAAAATCTTTCCAAAAAGCTTGCACCAATTCCAAGATTTAATGGGAATTCCACCAAAAAACAAAGGGAGAAATAATAGCCAGTTGCACAAATTCTTCCAAAGAAAGAAAAAGTTCACACTTCTCAATTTCTTTCTTAAGAATAGGATAGCCTTGATACCTATGATTGAGAAAGATACTGGAAAGGAAAACTGCTCACTGCACCATGAATATCTAAAAGGAAAATAAATTACTCCCAAATGAAATGTATTTAGGGATGCAAGGGTAATTTAATACTTAAAAATTAATTAATACAATAGTGACACAAATGGTATGGGAGAAATTGGGTAGTCATAAACTAAAAGAAAAATTAAAGTCAACTTAAATTGAACTTTATGAATAAAAACTAACACAAATTAATCATGGACATACTTAAAACGAAGAACTACATATAAAATTTTAGAAAACATAGGAGAAATCTTCAAGATCTAGAGCTAGGCAAAGTGTTCACAGAGTTTATCATTTTAAACACTGTTCTCATCACAAAAAGCAAACAAGCTCTTCCAAAGACTCAAATAAAATGATGGAAGGACACAAGCTGCAGACTGAGAGAAAATATTTCCAAATAACATATTCAGGGTAAATCTCAAAACTCAACAGTATAAAAACACAAGAAATCCAGTGAAAGTTGGCAAAAGGCATGAATATATGTGAACATAAAATGATGTATGAGTGACAATCCAACATATGAAAAGATGTTCTACATTGGTTTTTGACAGTACAAAGTAAATTAAACCCACAGTAAGGTAATGCAACACATCCATCAGAATGGTTAAAATAAAGATAGTAACAACAACACGTAGCAAGATGCAGAGAAGCTGCTTCACAAAGTTTTAACATTAGTCGAGATGAAACATCATTCAGCCCTGCTGAGAAAGTGTGGCAGATTTTTTATAAAATTAAACACAGATTTATCATATTACCCAACAAGTTCACACTTGGGGATTTATGCCAGAAAGATGAAAATGTATATTCACACAAAACTTGTACAAGAGAGTTTATAGAATCTTTATTCATGATATTCAAATACTGGAAATAGTCCAAAAGTCCTTCATAAATGAATGGTTAAAGAAAATGTGGTATATCCATACCATGGAATACAATTCAGCAATAAAAAGGAATGAACAATTTGATTAAATCTCAAGGAATTTGCTAAATTTTCTTAAATCGCTCTCAAAATATTATATGCTTTATGACTACTTATTTTTTGAAATGGAAAAAAATAGAAATGGGACTAGATTAACAGTTACCTGTGGTTGAAGAATGATGTATGAGAAGGGGCAGGAGAGAAGCAGGTATGATTATTAAAAAGGTAACAAGAAAGAACCTTGTGGTGGAGAAACTATTCTGTATTTTGACTATGGTGCTAGACACAGGAAAACTAAATAAAATTGTGAAAAACTAAATAAACACACACAAAAAAAAACCCACAAATGAGTAAAAGTAAAACTGGGGAGACAATAAACTGGTTGTAATATTGTGTTATAATTGAAAGTAAAGGAAACACAGCATCTTCTGTATTTTTTTCTTACAACTGATTGTGAATAAAAATTTCAATTGAAATAGTAAATCATATATTTTACAAACTTCAAACTATCTAAAAATAAATAGTATTTGCTTGAGAATGGTTAAATAGGAATTTCTCATGATGGAAGTTTAAGCTGTTAAAATAGTAATACCTCTCTAAATAGCAGAGAGTAATTTTTCAACAACTATCAAAATTGAAAATTTTTAATCATATGCATTATGACTACAATTTATTTGAAGATATTCTTCAATGTGTTGAAGATTACATATGTACCATAATGTTTACTTGACTATTTTAACAATAAACATTTGGAAAGAATCTAAATATCCAAAGTAAGGAGTAGATAAATTATTGCATCTATATAAGGAAGTATGCAGATTTAAAGTAATACATGTGCATATATAAACACACCCAAATAAAAGGGTACAAACAATAACTAGCAGATAAATATAGAAAAGTGCACAAATCACACATATTTATATAGACACACAATCTTTATATATGTATACTTACAGATACACACATATAGAGATATTAATCATGAATTCCAAGATGACTTAATAAATGATAAAGTAAGATACAGTAAAATATGATTACTGTGCTAAGATTTCTGTTCAAAATTTTCTTCTGTAGGCAGAGTATCTCTGAATATACAAAAGAAACCAGTAGTGGTTCTAGTTTCTAGGAAGAGGAGCAAGCTGACTACCTCTGAATGGCAAATAGGCAAAGGCAAAAGAAATATTATACTTCCTTTGGTATATTTTGAATTTTATACCATATTCATATATAAT